AATTAGTTTCAACCGTATCGACTCTGGCAAATAGCCCCAACTCCAACCCCAGTTTAACTTTCAAGTAGTTAAAATAACACTTTTTGAGTTAAAAACAACTCTGAAATATTTTTTTCTCTGAAATTTTAACCCTCCAGTTTTTACTGTGGACTGAGTGAGTGATCCAGTCAAATGAAGCTCATCGATCAGAGCGAATCTGGAGTTCCGTTTTAGGAAAATGAATTTATTAACGGACAAAATAGTGAAATAAAAACTCCAGGATCGTGTGGAGGGAGTTAAACCGAACATTTTAACACCAAAATGTCGAGAATCACAGAAGTTACATAAAGACGGGTTAACGATTTTTCAACATAAAGTGAATTGGAGTCTGTTTATGTAGACAGTCTATGGCAGGGACACGGCAGGGACACGGCAGGGACAGTCCAAACACCTGTCCGTCCAGGTGTTTACAGTAAGTGCTCACAGCGTCCTACAGCAGCGGCCGAGACTGACCCGAAACATGTGAATGAAACAAAAAACAACTCCAGGTCTGATTTTGACGAGAAAATAACATTAAAACAAGAATTAAACCTCACAAGAGTTATTTTGATGTGATATTGGGCGTTTAAAGTTACAGTGCCAGTACCAAATAAGGTAAATAAGGGCTGGGAATCCGTGTGTCATTCATTAATTTGTTTTTCAAAATAAAGCCAAAAATAAGAACATTAAAAAACAACAATTTTCTTCGTTATTTGTCTCCAAAACCAAAATGAAAAAACAGATAATGATTCTTTTTTTTTTCAGTTTTTGATTTTGTGTTTAAATGAAAAATGGGAAAAAAAAAAAAAGGATAACGAGGACTGAACCAGGACTAAACCAGGACTGAACTGTTTTTAGTCCTGGTCCTGTTCCCAGTCTCAGTCCTGGTCTCAGTTCTGCTCTGGTCCCGGTCTCAGGCCTGGGCTCAGTCAAGGTCTTAGTCCTGATCCTGGTCCTGGGCTCAGTCTTGGTCTGGTCCCGGTCTGGTCCCGGACTCAGTCCCAGATGCAATCACGACCTGGTCTGGTCCTACCCTCAATCCTGATCTCAGTCCTGGTCTCAGTCTTGGCCTGGTCCCTGTCTAAGTTGTGGTCTCAATCCCGTTCTGATTCCTGTCTGGTCGGACCTGGTTTAGTCCTGGTTCAGTCCTGGTTTAGTCCTGGTTCAGTTCTGGTTTAGTCCTGGTTTAGACCTGGTTTAGTCCTGGTTCAGTCCTGGTTCAGTCCATTATCTCTTTTTTTCATTTTTCATTTAAACACAAAATCGAAAATGGAAAAAAAACGAAAAACGAACAAAAATCGTTTGTTTTTTCATTTTAATTTTGGAGACAAATAATGAAGAAAATCCTTTTTTTTTTTTTTTTTCATTTTCTGATTTTTTGTTTTATTTTGAAAAAACAAATGAACAAACACAGACACACAGATTGTTGGGTCTTACTGGTGCCACAAAATTAGAACCGAAACTGGCACAGAGAGAAAAAATATATTTTCCTTTTAAATCCTGTGAATCTGATTTTTACCGTCTTAAAAAAAACTATTTGCAGTGACCCAAAGTTTTTCCTCACTTTCCTTCTGCGTTCAGCCCGTCCTCTTTACTCACCACGATGAGTTTATAAGTGCTTCTCACAACTCGCAGAAGAGACCAGAGCACAGTTTTGCATCCTAACAGCGCACTTCCTGATTATCGGACAAGAAAACGTTAAAAATGAACACGTTCGGGTCAGATACGTGAGAAAAACCTGGAGCGCGGCTGTAGAGACGCTGCTCAGTCCTGACAGCGGCCGCATGCTTCTCCATCTCTGTCGTTATTTCGTTTTTAAAAAGTCCATTTTATGCCGTTTTTTTCTGATCCGTCGTCTAAACGTTTCCTCGTCACAAACGGACCTGGAGTTGTGGAAAATGTCAGGAAGTGCTCCGTTCACCTTCACTAGAATGACATCACAAGGTGGAACAGAGCGTTTTGAGCTTTAGAGTATTCGATTAAATTTTCTTAATCAGTCGTCGGGAAAATTAACGATTGATTTTCGATGAATCAATAATTAGGGATGTAACGAAATCCAAATCTCTCGGTTCGATATTTATTGTGATATTTTGAAGAGGCTGATATAAAGGCAGATAGGAAACTTTTTTTGCTTTTGAAACACCTTGACAAGATTTTGGTGTGAATTATTTTTGCCATAATTCCAATATTGTGTGTCATTCGTTCATTTGTTTTTCAAAATAAAACCAAAATTAAGAAAATTTAAAAAAAAAACTAAAATTTTCTTCATTATTTGTCTCTAAAACTGAATTGAAAAAAAAAAAAAAAACAGATAATGATTCAATTTTTCAGTTTTTGATTTTGGGTTTAAATGAGAAATGGAAAAAAACGGCCTAAACCAGGATTAAATCGGCCTCAGTCCTGGTCTCAGTCCTGGTCCTGGTCCCAGCTTGGTCCCGGTTTGGTTCCGGTCTCAGTCCTGGTTTGGTCCTGGTCTCAGTCCTGATCACCTGACAGTCTACGTGGGCGCACCCCCGGGCCCATCCCGACACTCCTGATTCAGTCCTGTTTTAGTCCTGGTTCAGTCCTGTTTTAGTCCTGGTTCAGTCCTGTTTTAGTCTTGGTTCAGTCCTGTTTTAGTCCTGGTTCAGTCCTGGTTTAGTCTTGTTTTAGTCCTGGTTTAGTCCTGGTTTAGTCCTGGTTCAATCCTGGTTCAGTCCGTTATCCGTTTTTTTCAACACAAAATCAAAAATTGGAAAAACAAATCTTTATTTGTTTTTTAATTTTGGTTTTGGAGACAAGTAAAGAAGAATTTTTAAATTTTTCTTTTTTGTTTTCTTATTCTTGGTTTTATTTTGAAAAACAAACGAACTCCACAGCTCCAGAGTTTGTGTCGCTACTTTCAGTTCGTCGATTAAAAACGAATTCGACTCAAACAAAACTCCAGGTCGTTTTTTTTTTTTTTTTAGTTTTTTTTTTTAAGGAGGAAACATTAAATCTCGACTCAAACTTTCCACGAGTCGTTTTGGCGAAATATTGGTGGATCTTTAAGAGGCCCCGCCCCTCACGAGTCGTGGAAAATGGCGCTCATCTGGACGTTCATGATTCGCTCGTGGGCGTGTCCGTCGAAGGGCACGATGGCGTCGATGCCGGCCCCGCCCCCCGGCCCGTACAGAGCCCCGCCCACTGCCGCGCCGCCGTAGTGCCCGCCGTACGGGTAGTCGGCGGCGCCCTCGTGTTTGAAGGACGGGGGGAAGCTGCCGTTGACGCTGAGGGGGGGGCTCAGGGGCCCGTCGAAGCCCGGGTCCAGGAACGGCTCCAGGGGCCCGTACGGCTGACCTTTGACCTGCGGACAGAGAAAACAGAAAAGAGAGAAAAGAGGTGAGAGAATGAAAACTTACACAGGAAGTATGACATCATCACCAGAATCTGTCATTTTTCAAAATAAAACCAAAAATAAGAAAAAGAAAAAAAAAAAAACACACACAAAACCCAAAACCAAAAAAAAAAACTGATATGGGTTTAAATGAAAAATGGAAAAAAAAAAACTAGACCAGAACTGAACCAGGACTAAAACAGGACTAAAACAGGACTAAACCAGGACTGAGACCCGGAGCAGGACCAGGATGGAGACTGGACCAGCACTAAATCAGGATTAAACCAGGTCCAAACCAGGACTGAAAGAGGAATAAACCAGGACTGAAACCAGGACCAAGACTGGGACCAGCACTGGACTGAACCAGGACTAAAACACGACTGAACCAGGACTGAGACTGGAACCAGAACCGGGATAGAGGCCCTTAACTGAAAGTGGGACCAGACCACGACTGAACCAGGATTAAACCAGGTCCAAACTAGGGCTAAAACAGGTTTAAACCAGGACAGAACCAGGACTGAACTAGGACTAAACCAGGACTAAAACACGACTTAACCAGAATTGAACCAGGATTAAAGCAGGTCCAAACCAGGATTAAACCAGGACTAAAACACGACTGAACCAGGACTAAACCAGGACTGAGACACGGACCAGGTCTGAACCATGACTAAACCAGGTCCAAACCAGGACTTAAAGGGGAACAAAACCAGGACTGAACCAGGACTAAACCAGGACTAAACCAGAACTAAACCAGGACTATAACATGACTTAACCAGGATTGAACCAGGTGTGAGACCGGGATCAAGACTGGGACTGTGACTGGAACCAGACCAGGACGGAACCAGGACTAAAACAGGTCTAAACCAGAAACTAAAACACATCTGAACGAGAACTAAACCAGGACTGAGACTGGGACTTGAGACCAGGACTGAGACCGAGACTAAACTCACCCTGGAAGATTTTTAACATTTAAACAAAAACTGAAAATCAACAATTGAACTGAACGTGTGTGGAGTTTGTGGAAGTTTAAACCCGACGGGAGCAAATCTAAAACCTCCAGAGTCTGAATCTTCACATTTTTCTTCGTCATTTTTCCTCCTTCGTGTCTGAAAAGTGGTGAGGTTCTGACCTGCTGGAAGATGTGCGGGGGCTCCATGGTTCCGTAGGGGGGGCTGGGCAGGCCGGGGGTCAGGCCCGGGCTCTGGTACGAGTACGACCCCGTGAACCCCGGACCCGGCGCCAGCAGAGGAAGCTCCGCCCCCTGCTCCGGGAGGAACGTCCTCGGGTTCAACTGGAGACAACCCGCCACGAGGTTCGTGGTGGGCTGGGACAGACCTGAGGACGGAGGGGACGGAGAGGACGGAGGGGACGGAGAGGACGGAGAGGACGGAGAGGACGGAGAGGACGGAGGGGACGGAGAGGACGGAGAGGACGGAGAGGACGGAGGGGACGGAGGAGAGAGGACGGAGAGGACACAGGGACACAGGATAGAGGAGAGAGGAAAGAGGACCAAGGACAGAGGAGACAGAGGACAGAGGACAGAGGGACAGAGGACAGAGGACAGAGGACAGAGGACAGAGGGGACAGAGGACAGAGGAGACAGAGGACAGAGGAGACAGAGGAGAGAGGACAGAGGACGGAGGACAGAGGACGGAGAGGACACAGGGACACAAGATAGAGGAGAGAGGAAAGAGGACCAAGGACAGAGGAGACAGAGGACAGAGGGGAGGGAAAGAGGACAGAGGACAGAGAGAGACAGAGGACAGAGGGGACAGAGGACAGAGGACAGAGGGACAGAGGACAGAGGGACAGAGGACAGAGGAGACAGAGGACAGAGAGGACAGAGGAGACAGAGGAGACAGAGGACAGAGAGGACAGAGAGGGACAGAGAGACAGAGGACAGAGGACACAGAGGAGACAGAGGACAGAGGAGACAGAGGACAGAGGACAAAGGAGACAGAGGACAGAGACAGAGGACAGAGGGACAGAGACAGAGGACAGAGGAGACAGAGGACAGAGGAGACAGAGAGGACAGAGGAGACAGAGGACAGAGGACAGAGGAGACAGAGGGACAGAGGAGACAGAGGACAGAGGACAGAGGAGACAGAGGACAGAGGACAGAGGAGACAGAGGACAGAGGAGACAGAGGACAGAGGAGACAGAGGACAGAGGACAGAGGACAGAGGACAGAGGACAGAGAGGACAGAGGACAGAGACAGAGACAGAGGACAGAGGACAGAGGAGACAGAGGACATGTTAGTGGTGTATGTACCATTTAAACCATCATTACATAACATGCATCATCACTCAAATCCTCCAACTAAGACCTGATCAAGTGTGTGTGTGTGTGTGTTGTGTGTGTGTGTGTGTGTTCTCAGTGTGTGTGTGTGTTCTCAAGTGTGTGTGTGTGTGTGTGTGTGTTCTCAGGTGTGTGTGTGTGTGTGTGTGTGTGTGTGTGTGTTCTCAGTGTGTGTGTGTGTGTGTGTGTGTGTTCTCAGTGTGTGTGTGTGTGTGTGTGTGTGTGTGTTTCTCATGTGTGTGTGTGTGTGTGTGTGTGTGTGTGTGTGTGTGTTCTCAGTGTGTGTGTGTGTGTGTGTGTGTGTTCTCAGTGTGTGTGTGTGTGTGTGTGTGTGTGTGTGTGTGTTCTCAGTGTGTGTGTGTGTGTGTGTGTGTGTGTGTGTGTGTGTGTGTGTGTTCTCAGTGTGTGTGTGTGTGTGTGTGTGTGTGTGTGTGTGTGTGTTCTCAGTGTGTGTGTGTGTGTGTGTGTGTGTGTGTGTGTTCTCATCCGTGATTGGTTCAGTGTTTCCCAAAGCGCTTTATAGTTAGAGCGCCTCCTTCACAACATCTGACCGCGACCTGACTCCACCCCTCCCCACTCCGCAGATCTGCTCTTACTCCAAACTCTGTGGACAAGTTGGGGTTTTTTCTGGCCAAAAATCTGAAGCTTGAGTAAAAGTTCATGCTGGAACTGTTCCTGCTGCACTTTACTTTTTGAAAAGGTTTGTTAACAGTTTACAAGAAATTTATTTTTTATAGTATTTCATACATTTGTTGCTTATTTGAGAATATTTTATTGAACTTACTAGTTTTACCAAACATTTACCAAGTTTTACTTTGCATTTATTTAATTTTCCCGTTTGTATAATATTAAAACAAATTGCTGGTTTAATAATGTATTTTTACCTCTGCCAAGGAGGTTATGTTTTTGCCGTTTGTTGTTTTTGTTTGTTTGTTTGCTGTTTGTTTGTCTGTTTGTTGTTTATTTGTTTGTCTGTTTATTGTCTGTTTGTTTGTTTGTCTGTTTGTTTGTTTGTTTGTTTGTTTGTTTGTTTGTTTGTCTGTTTGTTGTTTTGTTTTGTGTTTGTTTGTTTGTCTGTTTGTTGTTGTTTGTTGTTTGTCTGTTTATTTTGTTTGTTTGTTGTTTGTTTGTCTGTTTGTTTGTTTGTTTGTTTGTTTGTCTGTTTGTTTGTTTGTCTGTTTGTTGTTTGTCTGTTTGTTTGTTTGTTTGTTTGTCTGTTTGTTTGTTTATTGTTTGTTTGTTTGTTTGTTTGTTTGTTTGTCTGTTTGTTTGTTTGTTGTTTGTTTGTTTTTGTCTGTTTGTTTGTTTGTTTGTTTGTCTGTTTGTCTGTTTGTTTGTTGTTTGTCTGTTTGTTTGTTTGTTTGTTTGTTTATTTGTCTGTTAGCAACATAACTCAAAAATGTTATGGATCGATTTTTGATGAAATTTTCAGGATTTGTTGGAAATGTGAAAAGGAAGAACTGATTTCATTTTGGGGCTGATCCGGAAGAAATCCTGGATTCTGGATCACTTTGAAATTTTTGTTAACTTTGTGGTAAATGGGGCCAAAAATTTTAGTTTCTTAATATCTGGGTTAATTATTGACCAAACCCCATGAAATTTGACTCAGGGATGGACAATGGGATCCTCTTTCATATTCCAAAGGCTGATCCGGATCTGATCCACAAGACTGATTTTATCGCAATTTATATAAAAAGTGGGGGTGGTCCTTGGCGGAGGTCTGCGCTCTCTGCTTTTCTAGTTTATAATGTATTTTGTTCCCAAACTGAACCAAGTCGTGACCTACAAACCGACGTACATACTGAACTGTGATTTTTGTACCATTACACCTCTAGTGTGCGTACGTGTGTGTCTGTGTGTGTTTGTGCGTCTGTGTGTGTTTGTGCGCTGTGTGTGCGTCTGTGTGTGTTTGTGCGTCTGTGTGTGTTTGTGCGTCTGTGTGTGTTTGTGCGTCTGTGTGTGTTTGTGCGTCTGTGTGTGTTTGTGCGTCTGTGTGTGTGTGTTTGTGCGTCTGTGTGTGTTTGTGCGTCTGTGTGTGTTTGTGCGTCTGTGTGAGTTTGTGCGTCTGTGTGAGTTTGTGCGTCTGTGTGAGTTTGTGCGTCTGTGTGTGTTTGTGCGTCTGTGTGAGTTTGTGCGTCTGTGTGTGTTTGTGTTGTGTGTTTGTGTGTGTGTGTTTGTGCGTCTGTGTGTGTTTGTGCGTCTGTGTGTGTTTGTGTGTGTGTGTGTGTTTTGTGCGTCTGTGTGTGTTTGTGTGTCTTGTGTGTTTGTGCTGTGTGTGTTTGTGTCTGTGTGAGTTGTGTGTGTGTGTGTTGTGCGTCTGTGTGTGTTTGTGCGTCTGTGTGTGTTTGTGCGTCTGTGTGTGTTTGTGCGTCTGCGTGTGTTTGTGCGTCTGCGTGTGTTTGTGCGTCTGCGTGTGTTTGTGCGTCTGTGTGTTTGTGCGTCTGTGTGTGTTTGTGCGTCTGTGTGTGTTTGTGCGTCTGTGTGTGTTTGTGCGTCTGTGTGTGTGTTTGTCGTACCTTTACACAGCGCCTGGACGAAGCTCATGAGGTCCGGGGCTTTCCCGGAGCGCAGGATCTCGCTCAGGGCCCAGATGTAGTTCTTGGCGAGGCGCAGGGTTTCGATCTTGGAGAGTTTCTGTGTTTTGGAGTAACACGGCACCACCTTCCTCAGACTCTCCAGCGCGTCGTTCAGCCCGTGCATCCGGTTCCTCTCGCGAGCGTTCGCCTTCATGCGCCGGATCTTAAACCTGCAGAGAGACGAGTGTTTAGAGCGAAACTAACGTAAACATCACCAAACTCACTCACAACGTAAAACCAGGACAAAAGTACTGATCTTATGTCACGTTTACACTGAAACAAATCAGTGTCTCAGAAACGATTTGCGTCCAGACTCATTGTTTCGGTGTCTGCAGTTCTTCTCTATCCACACAACTTTGAGCACATTTGTTTACGTTTTACAGAAATGAAACTTAAAATCACATGACTCATTTACATACAAGTGTTCTCTCTGACAGATCAGAGGGGTGTTCTCTCTGTGAAAACAGAGACAGAGGGGTGTTCTCTCTGTGACAGATGTGTGTTCTCTCTGTGACAGAGGGGTGTTCTCTCTGTAGGGGTGTTCTCTCTGTGACAGAGGGGTGTTCTCTCTGTGACAGAGGACAGAGGGGTGTTCTCTCTGTGACAGATCTCTGTGACAGAGGGGGTGTGTTCTCTCTGTGACAGATGACAGAGGGTGTTCTCTCTGTGACAGAGGGGTGTTCTCTCTGTGACAGAGGGGTGTTCTCTCTGTGACAGAGGGGTGTTCGAGGGGTGTTCTCTCTGTGACAGAGGGGTGTTCTCTCTGTGTGTGACAGAGGGGTGTCTCTCTCTGTGACAGAGGGGTGTTTCTCTCTGTGACAGAGGGGGGTGTCTCTCTCTGTGACAGAGGGGTGTTCTCTCTCTGTGACAGAGGGGTGTTCTCTCTGTGACAGAGGGGTGTTCTCTCTGTGACAGAGGGGTGTTCTCTCTGTGACAGAGGGGTGTTCTCTCTCTGTGACAGAGGGGTGTTCTCTCTGTGTGTTCTCTCTGTGACAGAGGGGTGTTCTCTCTCTGTGACAGAGGGGTGTTCTCTCTGTCTCTCTCTGTGACAGAGACAGAGGGGTGTTCTCTCTGTGTGACAGAGGGGGTGTGACAGAGGGGTGTTCTCTCTGTGACAGATGTGACAGAGAGGGGTGTTCTCTCTGTGACAGAGGGGTGTCTCTCTCTGTGACAGAGGGGTGTTCTCTCTGTGACAGAGGGGTGTTCTCTCTGTGACAGAGGGGTGTTCTCTCTCTGTGACAGAGGGGTGTTCTCTCTGTGACAGAGGGGTGTCTCTCTGTCAGAGGGGTGTTCTCTCTGACAGAGGGGTGTTCTCTCTCTGTGACAGAGGGGTGTTTCTCTCTGTGTTCTCTCTGTTCTCTCTGACAGAGGGGTGTTCTCTCTCTGTGCGACAGAGGGGTGTTCTCTCTCTGCGACAGAGGGGTGTCTCTCTCTGTGACAGAGGGGTTCTCTCTGGTGTCTCTAAAGCAGACATGTCCAAACTATGGCCTGGGGGCCAAATGCGGCACTCAGACAAATTTTTCTTGGCCCTCAGACTTCCAGGTGAATTGGCCAAAATGACCTTGCATCAATTAACAAATATTTTTTTACTGCAAGTTTTTTTAAAATCTACCTTGATAAAGCTGATATTTAATATTTAGTTTGTGATTTTAAGGATCTTGGCATGAATATGCACAAATTTCAATTATTCTCTGTACTCAGCATCAGTCTACGGCCTCGATCGTCCCTCTGCTTCATCTGTTTAGAAATGTGGCGCCTGATGAAAAAAGTTTGGACACTCCTGGTTTTAAAGTGTTTTCCACAATATCATCACATGACCAATGACACGAATCCAGAGAATCAGAAGGAGCGAGTCACAGTGTCGTGTCCAATCAGGACGAGACTCCAGCTTCCTACATCAGAGTATCAGAGTTTTCAGGAGTCCCACAGTCCCCGTCACATCTGGACCAACATGAACTCGTGGAGCTGGAGGCACCAGATCGTTCAGACTCTGGAGTTTATGGATTTATGGATCTATGTTGAGGTCTATTCACCGCAACAGTCCAACAAAACTGAACCACATCAGCACCACAAGGAAAGAGCTGTTTTATCAGAGACATTAGTTTATGTAAATGAGTCATGTGGTTTTAAGTTTCATTTCTGTAAAACATAAATGTGTCAAAGCTCTCTGCAGATCTCTGCTCTCTGAGGCAGATGATTTGACGCTGGACCTTAAATTGAACTTTACAGTCCGGCGTCAAATCATCGGTGGAGGACTCTGGTTTCTGTGATGTTTGCAAATGTTCATGTACACTGAAATTTGATTTGAAAAAAATCATGGATGAAATCGCAATTCAGTTTTTTCTTAAAATCATTCAGCCCTAATGTCTGTTTTTATATGTTCTCTTTTAATTATATTCTTTGTCTTTGAGTGTTTAGGAAAGCACTTTATTAAAAAAAAAAAAAAAAAGTATTTTTTGTTTTTCTTGTATCCATGGAGACCGTGCAAGAGGCTAGATGAGGAGCATTTAAGGAACATTTGAGATGCTACAGGCTTTTTTTTTTTTTTACACCATATGTGTCAGTAAATGTGTCCGAAAACCTTCCAGAAGAAACACTTTTATTAAAATCGTAAAACATAAAATAAACAACCCATTACAATTTTGACAAATTAAATAAAGACGACCCAGTTATTTTTATATGTGGACGACTTCACGCTCCACTCAAGTATTGATTTTATTTATGTACTTTTTAAAATGTGTCCGTGTCGTCCACCGCAGCTCCTGTTCAACACTGCGTCTTTAAATATTTATCGTTTTTAGCATGAGTCAGAAACCGCAGAGAGAAAAGTGGACAGGAAGTGGTGACGCTCACGGTGAGGCTGATAAACTCCGCTGTGCCGGTGTGAGTTTGTTCTTCACCGTAAAAAGAAAAGGTCCAAAGACGGATCCTTGAGGAACGCCTCACCACAGCGCAACTCAACTGCAGCTTGGTGGTTAAACTCTTACATTAAAAGTGAGAAGGTTGTGTGTTTGCATGTTCTTCCTGTGTCTGGGCGGAGTTTAAATACACTTTGAATTCTCATAAAATACAAAATGAACAAAAACAATGAGCAAAAGGTTGATTTAAAGCAGACCTGTAGTGTTTTTGTGTGTGTCTTTAGTTCTGGTGTCTGATGCTGTGTGTTTTTGTGTGTGTCTTTTTTTTTTGATCTTTTTTTTTTTTTTTTTTTTTTTTAATTGTGACATTTTAAATCACAATGTGGATCTAAAATGACTTAAACGAAACAAAAGCGACGAATTCTGCGTTAGAAAAATGTGGTGTCCAGTGGAACTGACGTGGACGTAAAGGACATGACAACAAAGCGCCGTATGGACCAAAGCAGGACTGAACCAGGACTGAACCAGGACTGAACCAGGCTGTGAGTCCGTCCTCCTGCAGCACATCACACTAGAGCAAATCGTTTTTGTTTTTTTTTTTTACATTTGGAACGATGATGCAACTCTGACCAGTCCTACGAGAATCACCCACGAAGAACATCGAACCGGAGAAGGAAGTGCGGACGTCACAGCGAGTGCGTACAAGAGCAGGGAAATCCCACCGAAGTTCGACGGGACAAATATTTAGAACTTATGTCGGAGCTCAGATCGGACTCGGACACGTCAGCGCGTTTCCTGCCTCAAGTCGCTCCAGTCGTTTGGAGACTCTTAAGTGTCCAAGATCAGACTCCACACTTCTAGTTTAGATCCAAGTCCAAACTGTGTGATTATTATTTGTGAAATGTGGAGCAAAACTTCAGATCCAGGATTTTTAAAGTGTAAAATATTGGAGATAAAGTGGTGGGGAAGTCGAGTCACTGTGGAGAATCTGCAGCTTCAGGTCAATCCGTAAACAGACACACGTTAGGAACTACTCCCACCTTTTTACTTTTAAACAACAATAAAACTGGACTCACAGCCCAGACGTTTTGTGGACTGGGGTCATTATTTGCGGAGGATCTTTCTGAGAGGTGAGGAAGAAAGTCTTGTCATTATTTTCACGATATCTGGGGTTTGTATTTTGCGTCTCTGTGTCCGTTAGAGGAACACAAACAATATCCTGCGTGTGTGATTTTAATTGTGTTGGGTCCGGTCAAGTGTTAACGGAGGAAACAGGGTCAGATTTTTGACATTCAAATGTCTCTTATTCAGAAACTAGAGGAACTATTGAAATAAGTAAAGTATCAGAATGTAGGAAAGAGTTACACTCCAACAGGGTCAAGTTAAACCTGTGAGATTCTTTCAAGTTCAAGACAAAAAATTTAAAAACTCATGTCGGTAACGGAGGGAATGAAATATGCAGCACTTTTTGGTCAATAAATCCAAACAGTGATAACTCTTGGTTCTCACTTACATATCCTTAACAAACTGGTTTGAATATTTGCTTCATATAGTTTTCTACCATATGGTACAAGATTAGGTTGAAAAACCTCAGACTTTTTGACTCATGAGATTTTTTATGAAGAAAGGTCATGGTAACGGAGGGAAAAGTAACGGAGGGAAAATTGTACAAACAAGTAGAAGGTGCAGGATTTTACATCATTTGTCACTTTTTTCTTCTGAAAACTTTAATATTACTTCAAAATGAAAGGAAACTATTTCTATAAAATATGTCAGTCCTTCCAAGAACATTTTTATCATCTTAAATACTTTTTTTTTTTAAATCCTGTCCCTTCATCAACAGTTCAAAGATGGAATAACACAAGATATGATGAAATACAAACATTTATTTACATGATTTTCAGGTCTTTGAAATTTGGGAAATAATTTTTGTTCCATGTTTCATACATGGTCTGTTTAAAACATATGGAACTTTAGAACCAAAAATGGAACAGAAAAAAGGTCAGCAGTTTGATAAACTCGAGTACATATGTATCTGTTCAATACATTTTTATATCAGATGAATTCACTTGTTGTTTACTTCTGTTTGACCAGGTTCATTTTCATCTTTCTGAGAGTTGAGGAATAAAGTCTTGTCATTATTTTCACTTTATCTGGAGTTTGTATTTTGCGTCTCTGTGTCCGTTAGAGGAACACAAACAATATCCCGCGTGTGTGATTTGAATTGTGTCGGGTTCTTAACGTCTGTCGGACTCAAGTCACATTTGATCTCTGCTCTGTCGGACGTCACAGCAGGAGTGTACGTCCACGGTGTTTTGATTCCTCAGACATGAAACACTCCAAATACAACTCGAAAAGAAAGGATTAGAAGAAGGAGAAAAGCTCTGAAAAGCTCCAGATCCTGAGCGATGTTTTACCTCTGGAGTCGGGCCTTGGTCATCTTCTTCTTCTTTGGTCCTCTGCGTTTGGGTCGTTCTTCTCCTTCCTCTCCTTCCTCCTCGCCCTCCTCCTCGGGGTCTTCCTCCTCCCCCTCTCCCTCCTCCTCCTCCTCCTCCTCTCCTCGGGGCTCCTCCATGTGCTCCTGGTCCGGGTCCTGGTCCTGGTCCTGGTCCTGGTCTCGGTCCCGGTCCGGACTGCACACCTCCTCACACTCGTCCTGCAGTGAGCGCGTCATCTTCTCCTGCTGCACAAAAACCCGTCAGGATTTATTTTCTGATCAAACTCTACAGAAAACACGTTATTCCACCTCGTGATGTCATCAGGTGGGGATGCAGGAAGGAAGTGCTCCACGGTGTTTTTAAACTCCACACACCTTCACTAGAATCATCTGGATCATTTCACATGTGGAATTGGTCTAAACCAGTACTAAACCAGGACTAAACCAGGTCTAAAACCAGGACTAAACCAGGACTAAAACCAGGACTAAAACCAGGACTAACCAGGACTAAACCAGGACTAAAACCAGGACTAAACCAGGACTAAAACCAGGACTAAACCAGGACTAAAACCAGGACTAAACCAGGACTAAACCAGGACTAAACCAGGACTAAAACCAGGAATAAGTCAGATCTAAACCAGGACTAAGATCAGGACTAAAACCAGGACTAAATCAGGACTAAACCAGGACTAAAACCAGGACTAAACCAGGTCTAAACCAGTACTAAACCAGGACTAAAACCAGGACTAAAACCAGGACTAAACCAGGACTAAAACCAGGACTAAACCAGGACTAAACCAGGACTAAAACCAGGACTAAAACCAGGACTAAACCAGGACTAAACCAGGTCTAAACCAGTACTAATCCAGGACTAAAACCAGGACTAAACCAGGACTAAAGAACTGGACTAAACCAGGTCTAAACCAGGACTAAACCAGAACTAAAACCAGGACTAAACCAGGTCTTAACAAGGACTGAACCAGGACTAAACCAGGTCTAAACCAGGACTAAACCAGGACTAAACCAGGTCTAAACCAGGACTAAAACCAGGACTAAACCAGGACTAAACCAGGACTAAAACCAGGACTAAACCAGGACTAAACCAGGACTAAACCAGGACTAAACCAGGACTAAACTAGGACTAAACCAGGACTAAAACCAGGACTAAACCAGGACTAAACCAGGACTGAACCAGGAACCAGGACTAAACCAGGACTAAACCAGGACTTAAACCAGGACTAAACCAGGACTAAACCAGGACCAGGACTAACAAGGACTGAACCAGGACTAAACCAGGATTAAACCAGGACTAAACCAGGACTGAACGAGGACTAAACCAGGACTAAACCAGGACTAAACCAGGACTAAACCAGGACTAAACCAGGACTAAACCAGGACTAAAACCAGGACTAAACCAGGACTAGACCAGGACTAAACCAGGACTAAATTAGGACTAAACCAGGACTAAACCAGGACTAAACCAGGTCTAAACCAGGACTAAACCAGAACTAAACCAGGACTAAACCAGGACTAAAACCAGGACTAAACCAGAACTAAACCAGGATTAAATTAGGACTAAACCAGGTCTAAACCAGGTCTAAACCAGGACTAAACCAGGACTAAACCAGAACTAAACCAGGATTAAATTAGGACTAAACCAGGTCTAAACCAGGACTAAACCAGGACTAAACCAGAACTAAACCAGAACTAAACCAGGACTAAACCAGGATTAAACCAGGTCTAAACCAGGACTAAACCAGGACTAAAACCAGGACTAAACCAGGTCTAAACCAGGTCTAAACCAGGACTAAAACCAGGACTAAACCAGGATTAAACCAGGACTAAACCAGACTAAACCAGGTCTAAACCAGGTCTAAACCAGGACTAAACCAGACTAAAAACTAAACCAGGACTAAACCAGGACTAAACCAGGACTAAACCAGGACTAAACCAGGACTAAACCAGGTCTAAACCAGGTCTAAACCAGGTCTAAACCAGGACTAAACTAGGCTGTGGTCCCTCTTCCTGCTGCACGTCAAACTAGAGCAGAATTTAGTCCTGGTTTAGTTTTTTTGTCGAGACATAAACTAAAATTTTCATGTCATATTTTACATTTTAAACACAGTTAAATTATAAAGTCACAAATCACTTTAAAACAACAAAAACAAAAACAAATCATAAACTAAAAACCAAAAAACACTTTACAGTTTTAATCAAATCCGTCTCCAAACGTTCTGCTCCACTTTGTTTTCAGGTCAGATTCTCCTTTTACATTTGACCTTCTTCAGTTCAGCGCAGATTTAAAAACACAGAGGAGCCTTTTCTGTTCAACACAAAACTAAACACGCTTCAAAAAATATTTATAAATGTAATAAACTCCACTCCAGGTTTGTTTAAGACGACGAAAATAAATTAAAACATCGAGAACCCGGTGAGTGTCGCTGTCCGCGGCCGTGGTGCTGAAACCTCCCCACCTTTTTTTTTTTTTTTTTTTTAACTCAAATTTTTGCTGAATTTGAGCTCAAAAAAGAATAAAAAACACAAAATTTGCTCTGAAATATTGTAAAAATCAAAATTATCCACTTTAAAACGCATTTAACTAAAGCAGAGACGCCTCAAATTTGTACTTTATCCGTTTTTGTTCAGTCGGAAACAATAAATCTTATCTTATCTTATCTTACTCGAGTACTTTACTTTTACTTCTTTCCGTTCCGTCGCTGAGTAAATGTTCTTATGTTCCTCAAATACGTAACTAAATAAATAATATTTGTATTTATCGACCAAAAAACTAAAGACTTTGATCGATTTTTGTGATTTTCTGGGTCAAAACGCAAACAGATTTTCAAATTTTATACAAATACGAAATGAAATGTGTTTTAATTTCATCAAAAGTGTTTAATTTATTGATTTTATTCGTGATTTAAGATGATTATTTGCGCGTTTATTCGAAGAAACTGCCTCAGAGAAGTCGGATCCGGACTCCAGCCGAGCGAACCATATGCTCCGTTTCCAAACTCGCGTCTTTAAAAATCAAATTAAAAAAATGATCAAATAAATTTCAGATAAAATGTGTCGTCTGTTTTATTTTGGCGGGGTGTTCGAATGTTTCCTCGTCCAAAACAAAAACAAAAACAAAAAAACTGAACTGGAGTTTTGTTTTGTTTGAGTAAATCTTTGTTATTCGTTCGTCAAAGTGTCGGGAGAAACTCTGCTCCTCGAGTCCAAGTCCAGGGACAAGATTAGACCTGGTTTAGTCCTCGGTTCAGTCTTGGTCGAGTCCTGGTCTAGTCCTGGTTTAGACCTGGTTTGGTTTTGGTTTTAGTCCTGGTTCAGTTTTGATTTAGACCTGGTTTAGATCTTGTTTAGTCCTGGTTTAGTCTTGGTTTAGACCTGATTTAGACCTTTTTCAGTTCTGGTTCAATCCTCGGTTCAGTTCTGGTCGAGTCCTGGTCTAGTCCTGGTTTAGACCTAGTTCAGTTTTGGTTTTAGTCCTGGTTCAGTCCTGCTTTAGTCCTGGTTTAGTCCTGTTTTAGTCTTGGTTTAGACCTGGTTTAGACCTGGTTTAGTCCTAGTTTAGTCCTGGTTCAGTCCTACATTGGTCCTTCTTTAGTCCTGGTTTAGTTCTGGTTTAGACCTGGTTTAGTCCTCAGTTCAGTCCTGGTTCAGTCCTGGTTTAGACCTTTTTTAGTCCCGGTTTAGTCCTTGTTTAGACCTGGTTTAGTAGTGGTTCAGTTTTGATTTAGACCTGGTTTAGACCTGGTTTAGACCTGATTTTGACCTTGTTTAGTCCTGATTTAGTCCTGGTTCAGTTTTGTTCCAGAGCTTTAAAAATCAAATTAAAACTGATCAGATTTCAAAATAAAGGAACGGTCCTGTTTGTGTGTTTTATTTTGGCGGTGCGTTCGGGGTCCTACCTGCAGGTCGCGGTGCGTTCAGGGTCCGATCATGTCCCGGAGTTCAGACAGAAATCTATAAATCCTGCGTCTGAGCTTCCTGCGTGTGTGTCTAAGAGTGTGTGTGAGTGTGTGTGTGTGTGTGTGTGTGCGTTGGGCTTTTATACACGAGGCCCCGCCCCCTCTGCCCCCTGCAGACTCCGCCCCCTCCTCCTCCTCCTCCTCCTCGTCCTCCTCCCTGAGCCATATGCCCGGAGCTCGCACCATCTGTCAGCGAGCGGCTCCTCGGCTCAGACCTACTTTAACTTCCTCGTGTTTAAACCTTTTCATAAGTTCGTTTGTCTGAGACTTCGTTTACGCGCGGAGAAACCGAAACCGAAATATCGTGACGTCGCATCGTCGAACGTCTCACAGTAACATCGAATCACAACTTCCTTTGCCTTAAAATCACGGTTTTACAGAAGCAGCAGTTTATAAACATCATGAACTACATTTCCCATGATTCATTTCAGCGCAGAAAACACTCAGAGCCACAGAGAGTCACTCAGAGCCACAGAGAGTCACAGAGAGTCACAGAGAGCCACAGAGAGTCACAGAGAGTCACTCACAGCCACAGAGAGCCACAGAGAGTCACTCAGAGCTCACAGGGAGTCACAGAGAGCCACAGGGAGTCACAGAGAGTCACAGAGAGTCACTCAGAGTCACTCACAGCCACAGAGAGCCACAGAGAGTCACAGAGAGCCACAGAGAGCCACAGAGAGTCACTCAGAGCCACAGGGAGTCACTCAGAGCCACAGAGAGCCACTGAGAGTCACTCAGAGCTACAGAGAGTCACAGAGAGTCACTCAGAGCCACAGAGAGTCACAGAGAGCCACAGAGAGTCACTCAGAGCCACAGAGAGCCACAGAGAGTCACAGAGAGCCACAGAGAGCCACAGAGAGTCACTCAGAGCCACAGGGAGTCACTCAGAGCCACAGAGAGCCACTGAGAGTCACTCAGAGCTACAGAGAGTCACAGAGAGTCACTCAGAGCCACAGAGACTCATTCAGAGCCACAGAGAGCCACAAAGAGTCACTCAGAGCCACAGGGAGCCACAGAGAGCCACTCAGAGCCACAGGGAGTCACTCAGAGCCACAGGGAGCTCAGACCTACTTTAACTTCCTCGTGTTTAAAACTTTTTATAAGTTCGTTTGTCTGAGACTTCGTTTACGCATGACGCGGAGAAACCGAAACCGAAATATCGTGACGTCGTATCGTCGAACGTCTCACAGTAACATCGAATCACAACTTCCTTTCCTTAAAATCACGGTTTTACAGAAGCAGCAGTTTATAAACATCATGAACTACATTTCCCATGATTCATTTCAGCGCTGAAAACATGTAGAAATATGTTTTTTTAATTTGAATTCTTGGGATTAGGACGGAAATAATTCACAACAAAATCCTGTCGTGGTGTTTTAAAAGCAAAAAAGTGTCACATCCACAATTTTATATCAGCCTCTGCAAAATATCACAATAAATATCGTATCGTGAGATGAATATCGTGATAATGTCGTATTGTGAGATTTGGATTTAGTTACATCATTACAAATATTTCCCTCCCTCTGTGCACATAAAACGTTTTCTAAAAAGTTTTCGTTGACATGGAGCTGCATAAATCCTCCATCGATCGGGTCAGATTCAAACCTGTAGTTTTTATTTCATTACAGTTTTAAGTTTTACTCACAAACACGTTTAAAATGGTGCATTAGTGAGCGGCTCGCCTCTCCACAGACCTGATAAAGCCTCACTGGTGATGGACATGAAACATCAGCTGTGTGAAAATGAAACACATGAAAAGAAGAAACACGACTGTTGCTCTGATACGTCACTGTCATCACCATCGTAAAAGGAAACACTGTCGCTCTTTTGGCATCAGCTCCTCAAACTCCAAACCAGAGTTTTTGTAAAGATTTGTTTTCAGAGGCAAATTCATCGTTTGTGTTTAAAAGATGGAAACAAATGAAGAGAAATGTCTCTTGTTTTTAAAAATACTTTTAAAAGTCTAAGTCTATGTCTATGTTCAGTCTGCAGGTTTAACGCTCAATTCCGATTTTTTTTTTTTTTTAATCCAATGTTTTTTCGAGGTCGTTCACATTTCCAGTTAAATGTGACTTGTATGTGACTCCAGTGTGAACATTAAACGGTACAAAAGTGTCCCACATGTGACACTGGAGACACGACGACGTCAACCGCAGCGAGCGTCTCTGTGTTTACAGAAGTTGTCCAAACATGGACGCAGCATCGAGCACCTGGAGATTTTAAAGTTCCTCTCGTACCGGAGCCAGAACATGAACAACTTGACTTGTTTTAAGGAGGAGATTGAGAAGGAGAAGGACCAGGTTTTTGGTGGTGGTGTTTTGTGGTGAGTGGAGATGTGCTTCACTTCAGTCACATGGATCATGAACAGTTTTCTCCTACTTCAGCGCAGAATAGTGACGTTTGTGTCTTGTTGATAACGTGTAGGTGGATGAATGTGACCTGACCGTTCACACTGAAGTCACATGTTAAAGATCAGATATGGATCAGTTTCAGGAGCACATATCAAGTGTCCTGGGTCATGTTTGAAAAAATCAGATCTGTGTGGTTCAGACTGACATTAAAAGATCAGATACAGGAACATAGAGACAAAAAATCTGATTTGGGAAACTTCAGGTGCAGTGTGAACACAGACTAAGTTTCTGTCTCGGCCTCATGTGAAGCTCACATCCTCCAGCGCTCGTCCCTGAGCTGCAGAGGCTGCACTAGCACTGACTCAGGATGGATTTAGCGTCAGTCTCCGTTCCTCCCCTCACCTCTGGTCATGACCCGAAGGACCAGATCCACGATACAAGAGACACAGATGAGTTTCCTCCGCAGGGCGTCCGGGCGTCTCCCTTAGAGACAGAGTGAGGAGCTCGGAGTAGAGCCGCTGCTCCTCCACGTGGAGAGGAGCGTCTGAGGGGAGGACGTCTGTTCTGACGTCTCCTGGACGTGTCCCTCAGGAGGTGTTCATGTTCCACCTGGAGGAGGAGAAGACCCAGGACACACTGGAGGGACCATGTCTCTGGACTGGACTGGGAACACCTCAGGTCCCACTGGAGGAGCTGGAGGAAGTGTCTGGGGTGA